TATTGCCAATTCGCACTTAATAGAACAGCTGCTTCTAATACAATTATATTATGATCTTTGGTCGATTCGATTATTGATTTTACTCTTTGCAAAATTAAAGGCCAAATTATTGTATTTAACTGTTCCAATTTATCCTAAAAAATAATAACATGTATGAAATATTATAAATTAATACTGACACAACCATTACCTTGTTATTAAAAACTATGGCACCTAATTTTTTTCTATCTACTTCGTTATTTGTTGTCAGAATGCTAGAACCAAACACATCAATGATATCTTGGTATGCAGGTTGATTTATATCATAAAGCCTATGTGCTAAAGTATCAGCATTAATTACAAAAGCTCCTAGATCTTTTAAATAACTAGCAATAGACGATTTTCCACTTGCAATTCCACCAGTTAATCCAATAATATATGGACATGAGGGTATATTGTTATTTGGCTAAACATAAAATTATTGAATATATATATATATATATATATAAAGTATCATTGAAACATAAAACTTCAAATTATTTATTTTTATTTACTTGTGGTGGTTTTAATAAAGTACCTAACAATCTCATGCGATAATTGCTTGAACTTATTTTTTGTTCTTCTTCTTCACAACAATCACTTGTTGTTTTATCTTCCTCTAATAATGGCACAGGTATTATATCAAGTGGTCGCAAACCGGCTTTAACTCTTTTCTCATTAATTAACTCTCCACCTTTCATGGTTTCTTCACTTAAAATAATCATCTAAAATAAAATATTAAAAAATACTAAACGAATAAATGCAATTATAAAATATAAGTTAATAAAAACCTGAAATGTAGGATCATGAATTGTTGGCCCATAAATATCATAAATAGGCAATACTTCATATTCTAATGTTGGATCAATGTCTTTTAAAAATCCTTCAACATTACTTATTCGAGTATTACAAGGTTCGATTAGCTCCTTTAATTTTTTAGCTGTAAAATTAAATAGAAGTGCTCTAAATTTTTTATTTAAGTATCGTAATAAATAATAATTAACTATGTTAACTTAAAATCAAATCAAAAAGTTATTATAATATAAACTGTAATTTATATTTTAAAATCTCTAAATTTAAATGTTGAAAAAAATATAATCTACTTTTAAATAGAAAAGATTTTGTTGGTAATTATATAAATTATAATATTGTGTAATAATCATTAAGTAAATAACAAAATATATAAATTTTATCAATGAAAATATTTATTGTTGTAAAGAAAATAAATCAGATTGTTTTCAGTTTATAATAATTAAAACTATTTGTATAATGATTAAATCAGTATTAAATTTAAAAGTAATATGTGGTAATCATTATGATACAAATTTATGTTTTTGTTAAACATTTGCTTATAATATAAGTGTGAGTTTAACGTAATAAATTACTTAATTTTATTAAGATGTTAACTTACAATTTAACATGGAAATGTCGGTTACACCCACAGTTAATTTTTTAGTGCATTTTAGCGCAGCTGTACTTAATAATATTTTATGACCTTTGTGAAGTCTATCAAAAGTTCCGCCTAAAACCACACTTTCGTACAATTTATTTTCCATTTCATCGTATTGGGTAGTTTCCTTTGTATCAATTGAGCTGTAAGCTTCATTTGGTTGTACAAATACAGTCTTGCAATTAGGAGACTTGTTACTTAATGACGACATCACATGATGAAGTTGATCAGACTTAATATGGTCGTCATAGAAAATCACATCTACTGGTCGTTTAGTTGCAATCTGAGAGTCAAATGTGCCCTTGAGACCACATAAAAGAATGCGTACATCCACGTTCATGGGACTTAAATTTTTATAAGCATCAATCATCATGAATCTATGTCGTACAGTTTTTTTATCCAGCTTTGGAATTGGGAAAAAATGAACGTAAAGTGTACTTTGTACATCGCGTTGTATTTGCGGAAATATGCGAAGTAGACGAAATGGATTGGAGCATATCAACAACCCAGTATTAGCCATTATTTATTTGTATAGAACAAACACGTCTTATCGGTAGGTATCACAAACGTTAGACGCCAATTAATGATTTCAAAAATGACTGATTTAACTTTGTAAAAAAATTTAGATGGTAAAAAAACTAATTAAAATATAATATTGAAAAATAACATTTCAATGACCTCAATAATACGAAAAAGTTATGTAATATATTTTTAAGAACACCTTATAAAGAACAAATATTTCACCTTGGTAATTGATTGAATGATATTTCCATATATTATCCCGATTTCGCGCTCGAGACTCAAGAGTCGAGAGCTGACGAATGTGATAATAACTGATAGACGATAGTTTGATAGCATTATTATATTATAATAATCAATGCTGATAGGTTATCATTAATATCACTGAAGTCAATTTTAAAAATGTTTAGAACCGTAGGGTATGGATACTGATTAAAATTAACACGGGTTGAAATAAATGAGATTTAAATTATAATAACAAAATATAAATATTTATAATTTAATTGTGTTATTTTCGTTAAATAATTTATCGCTTACAATATGTAGTAATTTACCTTCAATATAATTCTTATTTATTATTTCTTTAAATCATTATAAATTAACTAATAAGGTACCTACCTATCTCGAACGATTAGAAGTTATGTATATTTAGTACTTACCTATCTTAAATGCAGTAAATAATAAAACAATGCACTCAGTCGTGATTTATAATGTAATTGTATTATGAGCTATTAATTATAGGTAGACTGTATAATTAATAACACATTAATACATTTAATGAATTATAATTGGTCATTAACTATTTTATACACACGTACAGGCGAATATAATAAATATATTATCATAGATTATAATAGAATGAAAATCATGGCGAATCATATAATTGAATGAATCAGTTTTTTAACTAAAAAACTCATGATTATTTTTAATTTTATATAAACGCTTTATATTCACAAAGACTTTTTCACGAAGTTTTCTGTACATAAATATCGTATTGTCGCAAAAATCATATAAAGGGTCCCTAACTTAATGTATTTACATCTTTTTTCTAATGCATTTATACGAGGCTTGTCTTTACAGAAATGTGATTTCTGTTATGTAAAATTTAATGGAACATTTTTATTTTGTATTTTTTAATGATTTTTGATTAGGTTTACGGATATTTTTTTATTGATTTTGATGCATTTTTTGTATATTTTATATGATTACGACAAAAATAAATATTTGAAAAAACTAACGTACCTATTGTATAATCCAATCCTTCAATTATTTTTCTAAAAATACCGATTTCTTTTTTGAAATTATTCTGTATTACTGTCATTATTTTTTATCTCCGTTTTAAATTTAATTTATGCCTTGTAGTTTGTAAAAAAAAAAACATATTTGATATATAAAAATATAAGCATTGTTTAAATTTAGACGAATAAAATAATAAATTAATAATAAAAAATATTAATTTAAAAAAAGTCATTTTTGAAAATATTATGTTATTTTTTGATATTTTTAGGGTAATTTTTTAAGTAATTTTTCAATGTTAATAAGTAATTTTAATATTTATTTTTTGTGTGCATCTTTTAAAGATTTTTAGGTCATCAAGTTCCGGGCTCTAATACCTATACCTATTAAGTATAAACAGTAAAGAACTACAGCGTGTTCAAATTCGGATACCCATTATTTATTATATTATTTTTTTTATGGAATCATAGGAGCTTATATGCTTATGGATTTTTTTTAAAACATGAGCTGGTCATAAATAACATGTACTCACGTCAAATACCTTGCAAATGGCATAGGTATCAATTTAGCAGTTAACACTACTGATATGTAATTATGACCAATAGGATACCCACTAATAAAAAATAATACAGGTTACAAGCATCAATTAAAATATAATAATATAGACACAGGAATATTTTATAAATATTAAGTCGATAAAATTATAAAAATATATTAAGAGTATATTTTAAACTAGGTATGTGTTAGTCGTGACATTACCAACTATGATGAAGCAATAAAATAATAATAAATTATACCTTATCAATGGTTTTCTTAAGTTTACATTTTATATATTTATTATAAAAATAAACTTAAAAAAGGAAGGAAAGAAAAGGATACCGTTTTGTTGTTATAATAGGTGTTTAGTGGATCACTATTATGAATAGGTGTTAAATTTAAACTCCATAATTTATATATTATTGTATACAAAAAATAATTCAGAATGAAGACGATCTGTTAGCCTCCGGTAAGTACATTTTATCATGTTTCTTTTTTTTTTTATAATATTATGATTTAAATTTTTTATAATTCATTTACTAATAATTTAATTTTGTTAAATAACTTGGGTATAAATAAATTGACTTTTAGCCACATACACATGCACTTCAGATTTATATTACCTAACTATTTAAGTACCAATTGGCTATTGCAGTATTCTATAAAACATTAAGGGCCCGCAACTGAGTTTACACATCCGGGCCTGTTAAATTCTAATTTTCACTTACCACATCACATGGAAATGGAACAAATTATTTTAGTACACCCTAATTTCAAAGCCAATGTGTTATGATTCTCTGTGTGAACATTCATTGCTAATTATACATAATAATATAAATCTATCCACTCGGGTGCTTAAATCCGGCCCACTTGTCCCTGATTACGAATACTTTCAAATTTTCTTAATCGCCAAGAAAAACATCGATACAGGAAACAGTAAAAAAAAATCTATTCGCGAACGTTTCACGTAAGAACGTATTTACGTATAATATTATTATAATTCAGTCGGCAATCGGTAGTACAACTGTACTGTTGTAGGCATAAAAAAAAATTTGTCATTACCTCCACACCTCCACATGCAGTTCATTTACGGCGATTGGTGAACGTTTGTCGCGCTTTTATCAGTAGAACGGTATCTAGTGAGTGGCCAAACTGCCAAAGACTCGGTAAATGGAACGGGACTGAAAAAAAAAAAAATGAAAATGGCCTCGGCAATTCTTTTTTTCCATTCGTCGGCGAGCGGTCATCATTGATAACCGATTTTCTGTCGTGTACGTCGCCTCAATGCCGCAATAGCAAAGAAAAATCATTGATATACGAAGCGCACGATTGTGCGAATACGCTCGTTTAATCGTCAAAATACGACCGAACGTTTGTAACAAAAAACCAAATGTTGGTGGTTACCGTCCGGAATTATTATTCTCGTAATACCGGAATCGCAACGCCAACTCGCATATAGGCGAAATCGCGTTATAACAATGTTGAAACGCGCAAATCGCGATTAAAAGTTTTATAATATATTATTTTCTATCATCAGTCATGTGCTAGTCAAGGTACCTAAACGATATAAATTACGAGATATTATATGTAATCTTAAATACGATAACACGCTTGTATTTGGTTATTTTTTTTCTGTAAACCGTGAATTCAGCAATTTTAAATTGCAATTATTATTATTTTATTTTTATTACATACGATAATCATTTATGCAGTCAATAAACCGGGTTTTTCGACTACAGCTTGATGTCTGCTGAAATACTAAGGTAAGGTGACTTTAAACTAATTATGTTTAATTTTTGCTCAAATTGAATAAATTGGCATTTTCCATCACTAATTATTTGGTGCAATCTTTATCGCTTGTCTATGCTGTATAATAATATACATAGTATGTGTTATTTTAAATTGCTAATAAAATATAAAATTGATATTATTAATACAAACTTTCCTTTTGTAAAATTGTATTAAAGTAAACAATGAAAAAATAAAATATTTTAATCTTTTTATACTTTTACTAATAGAAATTACTCAAGTAAATAAAATTATATAATCATATATGCCTACTACTTACATTTTTATTTTATAACTTTTCATATAATATTATGAATGTGTTACTAAGATATAATATATTTGAAGTTAATTGAATTTATTAAAATTATTTTAACTCTATTAGACTAACGTATTAGATAATATAAATTTATTATTGTTGACACTTAGATGATTTGACTCACTTACATATTTGTCATTTTCTATAATTCCATAACGAGTTTAGGTAGGTACATTACCTAACTATTTGTCAGTAAATCGACTTGTTACCAAATTTTATGGTTAGAACACTAGCTATGTTTTTTTTTTTGGTTATTTTTTAGAAAAAACAATGAGAAAACAAAAAAATATATTTATCTTTAAATATAATAAGTTAAATATATCATATACAGCTGTTGTCTCAACACTTCAAATTATTCAACAATTAGTATTTTGTGTTATACAATAAATTGGCCATTGTAAACCAACTATTTAAATTTATTAGAGTTTACTTTTATCTTGAATGAAAATATTATTAATAATTTGTAAATGCTTGCTATAAGTACCTATTATATGATGTAGAGTCCAATTAAAAAAAAGTTATAAATATTAAAAATTAGTAGAAATAGTGACTATCAATTTGAATTTTTCTAAATATTAAAATTTTAATACTATAGGTACACAAAATTTAATTAAGTTTAGTTACAATATTCAATTTTAACGTAGGTATAAAGTATATTTTTATTTCAAAAATAGTAATATAAAATAGTATTATAAATCTATATTGTTCATTAAATTTCTTTAAGGTGATCTTTATGTTATTTTACCAGTTTCAAATTAAAATTTTTTATTCATAATTATTTTGTACTAACAAACAAATAAAATATCATTACATTAATGTAATATTGTGTTAATTTAATAAAAACAAATATTTGAAGAGCTAACAGTTTATTACTATTAAACATTAATCTATTTTATTTCAGTAATATTAAGTGGAACATTAATTTCCTTATATTTCATTTGTTATGTTAGTGTATGTTTTTTCTATAAATTAATGATACTATTATAATATTATATAGAACTATAACTTTAGGTTAACTATAACTTTTTGTAAATTGTTATATATATTTTACTAATAGTTAATACTTATTTTAAATTAGTAATTGCATTTTGAAATAAGTTTGTAATGCTAGATTATATTTATTTAAGTGCCCAACTTTTAAAACTGTAATATATTTTTGTTATATTAATTAATTTAAAAGTTCTTAATGTTATAAAATTTTATCAATTTTGTATCCAAGTATTATGTTTATCTAAATAGTATTATTTTTTAATCATTTAAATTGTTTTAAATTTAAAACAATAATAATTGAACTAAAAAAAATTATGAAATAATAATAGTTATATCAGTACAGCCTACAAGTTAAAACATTAATAAAACATAATATACAGTATTTCATTCTGTATAAGAAAAATTTTTATAAGATTTATTTTAAATATTTTAAACTTAACTGACTATTTATTACTCAAACAAAAGTAACAAAGTTAGAATTAGTTTATTTAGTCAATCTTAGTTAGGTATAAGTAAATAACATAATTGTTTATTGGTTACTTAAAAAATGTATGACTATATGATTCAAATACAAGCTAATTTTGTTGCTATAAATATAGTATTTATCATAATATAATTAATAATTCAGTGTACTCTTAATTATCCGTAAAATAGAGTGGCTTGGCATCCACGGGTAAGCGAATTCCGCTTATAATCCGCAAAATTTAATAACTACATATACATGTATGTATTATTAAAAAAATAAAATTGTATTATTTTAAATAGTATTTAAAGAAAATTGAATTAGAGTATGTTATATTTTTATTTAAACATTTATAAAATATTATGTACCATTTTCAATGATGAAATTAATTCAAGTTTCTCTTGAATTGACAATACTACTTTTTTTATTTTTTCACTCATTTCGTTATGAACTTGTAATAAAAAAATATTAAAACTAAAATGATGCAAGACATTTTAAACACTAATACAGAGGTTCTCAAACTTTTCAGGCCAGGCTCCCCCTTTTAGTCAACCCCAAACCTGAGCCACCTCATAACATTTTATATATATAAATAATTTTAATAGTCATGTTTAGAGTAACAAAAAGTTAAAAACAAACAAAAAATATAGGGTAGTATTGATATTAATATTACAAATTTATTTTAAAATAAAATGTATTTTTTATAAAAGATTTTAATTAATCGTTCAATTTTATTATTATTATAGACATTTCACAAATTTTTTTCTGTCTTACCAATGCAATGTTGATTTTTAAAATTTTCTTGTGCTCCCCCTATAAAGCTTTTGTGGTCCCCAGAGTGTCGCGCCCTACTCTTTGAGAACTTCTGCACTAATGCAAAGTTCTAGTTGTTACATGTGTTTGTACAGTAGACAGAAGACTAAATAGGCATACGAGTAATTAGTGATCAAATGAAATTAATGTAAAATCCGCGTTATCGAGTAATTGGCTATTGCCACCCAATTAAACCGATAATGATATACAATTAATATAAATATTTTATTATTATTATTATTTTTTTATTGTTTCCGTGGAAGACTGTGGATAATCAAGAGTATACTTTATTTTTTTTATTGTTTTGATTTCTACTTTTAAAATTTTTTTAAATTTTTTTATTATTTGTCTATTTAGTTTTGTTATTAAATAAAATTTATTTTATTTTCTAGATCCCAACAATCTTAATGTAAAGCAAATATAACAATTACAAACAAGAAATGGTATACAGTAGTTGTAAGTAATTACAAAAGACATCTTTGTAGACAATTTATGTTATAACTTTCATTTGAAGTATATTATTTGAAATTATTATCTATTATTTTTTTGAAAAAAAAAAAATACTAGCTAAAATATCTATAAAGTAATTGGTACTAAAATTAACACCTATGAATGGGAATGAATAATAGATATGCTCCCAGCACTGGTTAGAAAATGCAGCACAGCAAGCAGAGAAAAATCTTACCGAAGGACAAAAGAAAAAAAGAACAAATACAAATTGAAACCTAAGTCACACAAAAAATCTACTCTAATTACTTCAAGTAAAAATTTAGTTCAATATTCAGATGTTAGTTCTGAAGAACTTAGTAGTCCAGAGGCAGGTGAAATACATAGTGATTTTGATGAGAAACATGGGGCCTTACGTTTAAAACCTCCTCCTCTTCTTCCTCCTCCACCCCCTCCTACCAGAATAATAACTAATAATTTTCGAATTACTAGAGTCACCTCACCTAGAAATCTATTATCACCCTGTTCCCCTATTAGTAATCATTGGCAACTAGATCCGGTGCTTGATAATTCTTCAATGTCTACTACTTTCAATTTAAATAATTGTATAGACACGACATCAGAAGTATCACGTTTAAAGTACAAAAAATCTAAAAAAACCAATAAAAAACCTAAAAGCCCTACTTCAAAAAAGAAAAAAAAGAAGAAGGATTTGAAACAAAAATCTGATGTATTACCAGACTGTGATAATAGTTTTGTGAAGTTGTCTAAATGTTCTAATTCAGAATCTTCCAAACGAAATGGTGATTTTAATGAACCTATTAAAAAACATAAGTCTATTGAGGCTTCACACACTCCACCATTAACAAAGCCAGCTCATATCAAAATTTCCAAAGTTGAGGTGACGCATAAGGAAGAAGATAAACACACCAAACATCATAGAAAAGAAAATAAAAGGTAATAAATTATCTGACAGGCTTTTGTCATCAAAATATTATTGGTTTTATTTAATATTTTATTAGCCCAGTAATTGTGGGGTTTATAGAAGTATTTTGAATATTTTGATAAAAAACGATTAAAGTATCTAATTTTATAAATATATTTTTAAGTTGGATGAAGAGCCCGCCATTATTAAATATAGCAATAAGGAAAGAATACAGTCGTACGCCTGAACCTGTAGATGGTAAATATAATTATCAATCACGAAGTGTTTCAAAACAAAATAATAGGTTTGTATTTTGATTAATGATAAATAATAAACATCAATCAACCTATTTTCATGCAATGTACATTTAGGGACCATAAAAGACGTATGGATGAGTATGAAAGATATGAAACTGATGAACTCAAATCTAGTAGGACTCGTGATAAGCACGAGAGTAAACATGAAAGCAAACACGAGGGCAAACATGAAAGGAGTAGAATACGAAAAATTAAATCTGATAAAGATAGATCACCTGTACATAGCCACAGGTATGTTATTTTCAAATATTTTTTAAATTAGGTTAATTTTCAGATTTTACTTAGTATTTATGAATTCAGATAACTTAAATAAAAAAGTTTTGATGATATGATGAATGAATTTATGGAGATGATTAAAATTTAAACTGACAATATCGGTACTTAATATTTTTTGAGTGGTTGTCAAGTCAATAAATTATTTTGATTAATTAAGATAAAAAGTTGATTATAAAGACATTGTTGCTATGATGGATACTAATACTATTGTAATTTAGATCATATTTAAATTTAAGATAGTTTAGATTGTTTAACATGTTTTACCAAATTTAAATAATTAAAAAATAATATTATTTGGGATACTTTATCTATTATAAAATTATTTATTCAATTAGCTGAATAATTATATTTAATTCAAGACACTTGAAAAATTGAGAATATTTATTAATTATTTAATATTTAATAATAGTTAGTGGAATAAAATTATAGTACCTAATTGTACTTATTTAAAATACTGGATAAATAATAAAAAATGTTAGTAATTTTTTTTTATGTAACTTAAATTATCTTTGTCTGTATTAAAGTTAAATGAATTAACAATAAATATTTACTCAATGTTATTTTAGATTATCAAGAAGTCCGATTCGAGATCGTCGACACCATGAACACATGAGAAGTTCTAAAGCAGGATATTCAAGATCACGTTCCCATTCCCGTTCCTATTCTCATTCACCACATTCCCCTCATCAACCGAGACATGATCATCATCATACACATCACTCACCAAAACATAGTCAAAAATCTCCTCCGCGTTCAACTTCAAAATCATCAAAGCACACGTCCCATGTTCCGAGAGCAGTTTCACCTCACAATTCTCGTTCTTCGAGAAAATCAAGTCATGTTCGACCAAAATATTCACGTTCTCCTTCTAAAAATATTCGTACTCAAAGTAAATCGCCTTCTCCAGTAAAAGATTTAAAAGCTACTAAAAAGCATTCTGATAGTGATTCACCTGGATGTTATTCATCAGTCTCTAAGAAAAAAAAATCTACTAAAAGCCCAGCTAAACAATTTAATTCTAAGGTAAAACTTAGTGAAACAAGTCTTTTTGCTGAGTTGGTTAAAGATCGACAGATGCGTGAATTAGCCATGAAGTGTTTAACACAAATTAGTACTAAGAGTGTGGATGAAAATGAAGTAGTTGAAATACACGATGATTCAGATAATGAACAAAATAGTTCTAAAACTGTTGAATTAAATACAAAATTACACAAAATTAATAAAAATGATGACGTTAATTCTTGTGTAATAGTAGAAATGTCCGAAAATAAGAGTCAAACCTCTAAACCTGATGTTGAAATTTCTAATACACTATCAGTTACTTCACCAATTTTAGAAGTGGCTCCAAAAATTCAAGCAGTTCCTTTAAAAAGTCAAAGTCCATCTATAACAAAAGTAGAGATAATTGAAAATGGAATTGAACATTCTTTAGAACCTAAAGTGTCATTAACACCAAAAATAACACCACCCGAGAAAAAAACAGAAGTATTAGAAAATAAAGATTTATTAAAAATGCCATTGCCACCTGTTTTTCCAATACTCAACGAAACATCTCCAGATTCAGAATTAAAATGTTCAAAAAAAAGCATTAAAGATTTACCTTTACCACCAGGTATGTTTTTTTTTTAATTATTGAAAGCAATGTCAATATAGTTAATTTAATAACAAATTGTAGAAAGTTGATGAATATTTTTATTGAACTATCTAAATTATTTATTAATACATTTAAATATTTTACCATTTTCAGAAGATCTAAATAATAAAATTTAACTTTTATTTAAAATAAATTAAAAATTATCATTTTTGAAACAAATGTACTATAAAAAAAATTATATGCCAGCTTCAAAGAAACTGTTTTATATGTATATGTATTATTTATTTTTAACACATTCAAAGAATTTTTAGTACTAATGAAATATCAGCTTCAATTAAATATAATTTACTAAAATAAAATTTATCTTATTAAATTATTTATTATTTTTTGTATAATATTTTAAATTTTGGTACCTATAATTATTATAAAAATGTTTACAGGACTTATTCAAAATACAGATAAGATAGATGACGATAAAAATCTTTCTTTGTCAGAAATCATATCAAATCCTTTACCTGATTGTCAACAAAGTGCAATTAAAAGGTCAATTATGTTGGCTAAAGAATCAGGGTTTTCACAAAGTTTTTCATTCACTTCAAATGTGGAAAGGCCCTCTCGTCCATTAGATCCAAATGTTAAGATTAAACGACCCAAAGTACTTTATCGAAGACGGAGTACAAAATCTGCAGCAGCTAATAACCCTATTGATTGGGGAGAGCAGTGTGTTGATATGTTTGAAGTGATAAATCAAATAGGCGAAGGAACGTATGGTCAAGTTTACAAAGCGAAAGATAAAACTTCAGGTATATGTAATGCACTTTATTTTCAGTAGTACCAAATATATTTATAAAACAATATAATGTACACACATAATATTTAATATTAATACAATACTAGCTATCCTTGTACACTTAGTTGCCTGTACATAATACATCCATGTTAAATTGGCTTGCCTAACACTAACATTTAGCGTAACACATGTGGATAAAAAATATTTTTAATTTTCTGATTTGGTGTATAGATGATATATTTTTAACATATCAACTTAACATAGCTATCACACTCAACATTGCTCTTTTGACCATTTAGCAATAGTATTTTATTTTATTTTATTTTTTGACCATAAACCTACAACTTAAAAAGTTTCAACAGTGTGATCCAAAAACAAAAAAAGTTTTGTACTGTTTACCACATCAACTATTCACTAAAATCGTTAATTTCAAATAATAACTATTAATTGATAAAATAAATGAATCTATCTTGCCCTGTGATGTACTCTTTTGTTTAAAAAAAAAATCAAGATAATTGGATAAGTAGTTTCAGAGAACATGCGTGACCAAGATTTCTATTGTTAAGATGTTTTAATTTTTAATTATTGTTTTACTTATAGGTACATTTGTAGCATTGAAAAAAGTTCGACTTGAAAATGAAAAAGAAGGATTTCCAATAACCGCTGTTCGAGAAATAAAAATTTTACGGCAATTAAACCATAAAAATATTGTAAATCTAAGAGAAATTGTAACTGATAAACAAAATGCCCTTGAATTTAAAAAGGTAAAATTAAACTCCATTAAATATAAGAGAAAAATAAATAAATTTTCATGGTTTTTTTTTTTGATTTCTTAGGATAGAGGATCATTTTATTTAGTATTCGAATATATGGATCACGATCTTATGGGATTGTTAGAATCTGGAATGGTTGACTTTAATGAAACACATAATGCAAGTATTATGCGACAATTGTTGGAAGGTTTAAATTATTGTCATCGTCGAAATTTTCTTCATAGAGATATCAAATGCAGCAACATCTTAATGAATAACAAGTAAAATTAAAACTTAAAAAAAGTGAAAGATAAATTGTATTTGGGTTAACATTTTTTTACTGAAAACACTAGACTGTATATATAGAAATCTTGATTATCAGTGTAATAGGGTGGTGCAAAAACTTGATAAACAAATTTAAATCTTGATTTCAAAACTTCTGGGTGGTATGGGATGTTATATAATACAGCTTTTAGGGTAAGTTTTAAGACTTGAAATTTTCTCTAACTTAAATAAAAAAAAATTGTGGAACTGTAATGATTTCACGTGTACACAAATACATCATTCTTATAATTCTGTTAAAGACCTTAGATAATCCAGAGTTTACTACAGTTACATCTTGCATAGCTGTATTAATAATTATCAATTTATTTAAGTATATTTATTTAGAAATTTAAATACGATATCAATTTAAAGCAGCAATTAATTGTAAAATAATTATATTAAATAATGACTGTTAACCATTAGTTAAATAAGCTTTATAAATTAGTTAAATGACAATTAGTAATTAATTTTAGTATTTTTATTTCTTTATTATTTATTTTTGATGCTAATTTGTTGATTTTTTTTTTACTTTAGAGGTGAAGTAAAGTTGGCCGACTTTGGTCTAGCTAGGTTATATAATGCTCAAGATAGACAACGACCATACACTAATAAAGTGATAACATTGTGGTATAGGCCACCTGAATTATTACTTGGCGAAGAGAGGTATGGAACTTCAATAGATGTTTGGTCGTGTGGATGTATTTTGGGAGAATTGTTTTTGAAGAAGCCTTTATTTCAGGTAATATTTTATATAACATTTTCATACAATGTGTTATTGTACTATATTAACTAGTGGGTGTTACATAGGTGCTAATTTAGTGTATGGATCATAAATTTAGAATCCAGAAAATATTGCAAGAAATTATATTAAATAAATTGGTTTAATAAATTAAATTGGAAATGAAATTATTGACTAAAACATTTGGGTTTTTAATTTATTAATAGTTTCAGTATATTAATATATAAAATATGTTTAACAGGCAAATGAAGAAATGATGCAATTAGAAACTATATCTCGTTTATGTGGTAGTCCAACACCTGCTGTATGGCCTACTGTAATTAACTTGCCTTTCTGGCATTCTTTAAAAGCTAAAAAAGTACATCGACGTCGATTACGTGAAGAATTTACTTTTATGAATGATAGTGCCTTGGATCTTTTAGATCATATGTTAGAATTAGATCCTAGCAAACGAATTACTGCTGATAAAGCTTTAAAATGCAATTGGTTAAAGAATGTCCAACCTGATAAGTTAGTATTGAATTATTAATACAAATAATTACTAAAAAAAAAAAAATTATGTTGCCATCAAATAAGCAATTAGTATTAATATTTAATCAACATTCACTTATAAATTTTTTAGAATGGATGTAACAGCATTACCGACATGGCAAGATTGTCATGAGCTTTGGAGCAAAAAGAGAAAAAGAGATCAAAGAGTACGAGAAAACCAACCCAGAACTAACGAATCTGGTGAACTGGCTGGGGGGTTAGTTAAACATATTTTTTTTCTTTACACATCGTATTAAATATTTTTTCTTAATTGTTTTTCTGCTTTAGAATGCCTGGTGATCTACCAAATAATGAAAATAATTTAACTGATGGTTTCAAATTGACTGTTGAAAATAATACTAATGAAGCAGAAAGTGATATATTAGCAGCACTTGCCAATAATAATTCAATAAAATCTGACAATGACTCAGAAAAGCCTAATAACAATATGGAAACAGATGAGGTATGTATATATATTAATAAAGTATTCAGATAATGTTTTACAGTTAATTGATAAGATAAAATAATTAGCTTTAAGATATTATCTATAGGCATTGATAAATATAATAGTATACTATTTATTAATAATATCTCATAATCATTCAATTTTATTTGATGAGAAATTGTAAAACAGTTAATAATAGTTTAAGTAGTATGTTTAATTAACAATAAAACTTGTGTTTCTGTAAATATTATTAGCTGATATATACATTTTATATAAAATCTTAAGGTGTTTTGCTTCAGACCAACTGCTTTTCCCATTATAGAAAAGTTAAAATATTGAGGATATAAATTATAAATGTTAAAGCTATAACTTATTTTGACACTATTACTTTTGATTGTAAGGTTTTTTATAAAAAAGTTAGGTTTTACTATATCTGATATTTAACTTATAATAATAGAATTATTCTCTGAAACAGGAAAATATTTTTAATCTATTGCATAAATTATACTTTAAATTATGTCATTTATTTGTAAATTATATTAAAATACTAAACCTTAAAGTGCAAGTACTAATATCTGATATTAATCTTTTAATAATGGAAGCAAATCTTGCAATAGGAAATATTTTTGACTTACTATGTATAAAGATTACACTGAAATAAAAGTTTAGTGTAAATTAATTATGTGTCATACAAATGCAAATTGTAATAAAATCCTAAATAGTATAATCTTAAAGTGCAAGTACTAATATCTGATACTAATCTTTTAATATTAGAAGCAAATCTTGCAATAGGAAATATTTTTGACTTACTATGTATAAAGATTACACTGAAATAAAAGTTTAGTGTAAATAAATTGTATGTCATACAAATACAAATTGTAATAAAATCCTAAATAGTATAATCTTAAAGTGCAAGTACTAATATCTGATACTAATCTTTTAATATCAGAAGCAAATCTTGCAATAGGAAATATCCATGACTTACTATGTATATAGATTACACTGAAATAAAAATTGAGTGTAAATTATTAGTGTGTCATACAAATACAAATTGTAATAAAATACTAAATAGTATAATTTTTAAGCGCAAGTACTAATATCTAATATTAATCTTTTAATAATGGAAGCAAATCTTGCAACAGGAAATATCCATGACTTACTATGTATATAGATTACATTTAAATAAAAGTTTAGTGTAAATAAATTGTATGTCATACAAATACAAATTGTAATAAAATCCTAAATGGTATAATCTTAAAGCACAAGTACTAATATCTAATATTAATCTTTTAATAATGGAAGCAAATCTTGCAATAGGAAATATCCATGAGTTACTATGTATGTATATAAATTACACTGAAATAAAATACAAAATAGTATAATCTTAAAGCGCAAGTACTAATATCTAATATTAATCTTTTAATAATGGAAGCAAATCTTGCAATAGGAAATATTTTTGACTTACTATGTATAAAGATTACACAGAAATAAAAGTTTAGTGTAAATTATTAGCATGTCATACAAATACAAATTGTAATAAAATACTAAACATCATAATCTTAAGAATGCACTACTCATGCAAGCATTATTCTTATAGCTTATGCTATACAAGACAAGAGACTATACATGAATGGGTAGTTAGCATACTCTAAGAGCACAAGTACTAATATTTGATATTTATTTTTTAATAATGGAAGCAATTAATTTTTGCAATAATGTATTTAATATTTTTTACGAATTGTATTGAAATAAAATATAGTGTATATGATTATGTATATTATTTTAAAAATATGTACTATTTCAACCCTACTTTTTATCACTAATTTAAGTGTTTTTTATATTTTAATTAGTCATGCATTTTTCATAATCAATGACTAAACAGTGATATTTTTGTTAATTTATTAATTTAGTTTAAGTTAACATTTTAAAATGTATTGTTTTTGTGTTATAGGTGTCTAGTACAACTGTTGATGTAATTGATGATTTAAATCTAACACCGCCTATCAACGATTTTAATCCAGGCTTAAAAACTTTCCTCCCAAAAACTGGTGGATTCTAGGTCTTGTAATTTTTTTTTTATTGATTTTCTATACTTATAATGGTTTTTAGTTATTATTATTATTATTATTATTATTATATATGTTTATATACATGTATGTAAGGTGTTTTCTCATTTTCCTGTATTATGGGAAAAACTGGTCTACCATACATATATCTATGTGTATATGGTATATACATCTATGTATTTTAGATTTATAATATGTGTAATCTTTTCTACTTCGTTATTACTAAATATTATATAAAAATAAACTATACGTTTATTATATTTTTTTCTTAGAAATGATAGTTATATATTTTTACATTCAATTTGGACAATTGTACAATTAAGTTTAGTTTAATGTTTTGTGTTGTGTAAACCCCTCAATATTTAACCTTGTAAAATTATAAATATACGTAATTAAATTAATATAATTTATAATTGGATCCTGGATATAAAATATTTTATGATGAAGCAATCAATTAAAAACTAATCATATTTTTTTTAGATTTTTCAATTTTTTTTTTTTCATAAAAAATAATTTACAAAATTGCTCACAGAAAAAATTTATCAACTATCATTATCACATTTTTGAGCATAATTATATAATTTAACTCATTTGAAAAATTTTTAATTTTTAGTTCCAAAATGAAAAATTAATTTTACCATGAAAACTGTTTGTCTTAATATATGAGTGGTCATACAATCGACCAGATTATACCAAAGTAGATTTTTAATCAAATTATCCTAATTATTAGCTGTTAAATGTTTTAGTATATTTTTAACATTAATGGAATAATATTATTAAATGACAAAGCTTAAAATTAGATTTTCATCTATTCATACATTTGATATGTAATTGTTGTCTAAAAACCAAATCAACTTATAGCAATTGTTCATCAGGGTATTAATAATATTGAACTTGCTGTAGCTTTTTTTTTTTTTGCATTTAATTATTTTATTTGTTTTATAAATTAAATTTAGCTCTAATCATAGCTTTAAGTAGTTGTATGTTTAATTATATCATCATTATGTACTGATACAAATTGTAAATATTTTTGTTAGATCTATTACATGAATTGTTCATTTGTAGTAGAGTATAATATATATTATACATATACATATTATATATTATATTTTTTGAATGAAAGGTATTATTGTTTCAATTTTTTACAGTAAGTAGTATTAAGAGAAAATTTTTTAAGTTAAAATGACTTGAAAAATAAATATTTTACGAACAATTAGTTCAACTTTATGCTTGATGTACTTGTTGTTATGTGTGTATAATATTGTATATTTTTTAATATAACATTGAAAAGAACTAAAAAAAAATATTTCTCATTTTGTTCTCTTCCACAAAACTTGAGATTAGTTTGAGGATATAATAAAAATTTTCAAGAGAAGTATATCACATTCACAATGATGTTCTATTAAATATTAAATCATAAATTGTTGGTATTATAGACAAGTAAATTATTTAAAATGTATTTTTTTTTTACTTCAGATTGAAAAAAATCGAAATATTATATTAATTATTAAATCAACAATTTAAAATATAATTGATACATTTGTTCAATAATTTTATTTTAATAAACTAAATTTGAATGTATTTACCGTGATTTTTTTTTTATGTTACAATAAGCACTAATTTCTATTTTAGTCAATTTATTTTGAAATACTGGAGTTGTATGCATTTTTCAGATTGTTTTTAGTGTACAAAATGCACATGGTTTGAAATGTTTATGATTTATATTATACTGAATTCATTCCTGCAAAAACATCAAATTTTATTTCTCATATTTAGAAGATTGTTGTATATTATATAATATACATTATACATATAACGAGCATATTCAAAATGAAATAAATCAACATATAAATTTAAAAAAGTTGTTTGTACTGTAGACACTGTTTCTTTTTTTCTTTAAGACTAATTTTCACTAAACAGAATCAATCTTGTTTTGTTAGTTTAAATATCATAAAATATTGTTTAATAGCATGAACTATCTATTATTAAACTTAGTTACTTTTTCTTGTTTGTAAGTTGGAGTTATACAGTATTTCAAATAGTCTGCAACATATTATAAATATTTTTAAATTGTAATATTCTTAGTACATATAACTTTAAAACAAAATACACTTCCAACATAGAAAATGTTCTTATTGGCAAGTTAGATAGTAAATTCATGCTAACATTAGACCAAATAATTTTTAAATCAATTTTCTATACTTAACATAAACGTTATTACATTATAATCTCATAATGAATTTCATTATACACTGAAAACTATTCATAATGATAAAATTGCATATATAATAGAAACACAAGAAATTGTAATGAGACTGGTTATAATAAATAAAAAATTTGCAAGACTCCTATTTTATATGTATTTATTTGTATCAATTTTGTTTTTTAATTTTTAACATTTGAATATCTATAATTTTATATTTAATGTTTTACAAAAAACATAAAACAAATTATACAAAGTAAAAATAATAGCACCAATGCCACCGTGTTGGACTGTGTTGAAACAAGTGAAACGACATTAATTAGTTGATGATTTTTAAAATATTTGTTAGATAAATTACTTAAGATTATTAATATTATCGTCTGTATAGGCAATTGGATTCACAATTATAGACAATAATATTATTATTTTGTGACAAACTGATTATATAAGATAAATATATTTTGAGCGATGAATTTGTACCATGTTGAATTCATAGAAATTATTAATTTAGAGATTAAAAATATTATTATTTAATAATATTCTTATCAAGCATTTTTAAAATACTTACATTGTTAAATTAACGTTGGGAAAAATTGGCTCCAACAATAGTCACGCGGGAGACCGGGATTCGATTCCCCGCCGGGGAGCCAATTTGACGCGGCTACGGCGGTCGTGTGCGTAGTTGAATAGGCTCGCGGAATACCGGTCTCGAAAAGTTAGTCCCACATAGCTGTGAAAGTAATGAAAAAACAAAGAACAAGTGTATACTGTATACACACACTCGGAAGCGCGTTTCTTGTATCACTCGCAAAAATAAACAAGAACCGGACAAAGGTTAGTAAACTTAGTGAAGTGATTCACCTCACAGAAACACAGTGTGTAAGACGAGAAAAAAAAATAATTAGATGTGTACGTTCAATGTTGTCCCGTAGATGGTTACGAGTTAAGACGCAAGAGAACGATCGCCGGCGGCCGGTACTCGTCCAGGCACGACTTGTCTCTTGTCCCGCGCCCGCCTTGGCCTTTACGGCATTGATAGGAGAGTCGGCGATGTTGCCTTATTTTTACTCTGTGCCTCTTTACCAATGGTGGTGGTTGTGACAGTGCAAACTGGACACTGCGGTGCCTCCTGTACTTTGTAGTTTGTACTGGCATAGATTAAATATACTGAACATACAACATTCAACATTTCAACATAGTAAATTACTAGTATTGGCGAGGCGAGTGGTGACCGTTGCGTACCGTGTCAAATAAACATGACCCCAAACATGGTCGTAGCGAGAGTGAGGTATTTGCTCTCCCTCCTGCGCTTCAAACTAAATTATATTTCTTATATCAAACGTAAAGTTTTACTATAAAATCAAAAAAGCAAAACAATTAAAAAATTATCAACTGCCACCCTCCGATTAAAATCCTAGCTACGCCCATGACCCCAAAATATCTTACAATATTTCGCTATTGAGGCAATGAGGCCGTTTCGTCTCAGTGGTCCAAAACGTGATTAAATTGAAATTGATTACCGCGTTTTTAAATAAAAACTTTATTTACTGAAAATACTTTAAATATTTACTAAACTAACAATTATTTAAACCAAGTACAAAACATTAAAAACTTAAAACTAATAATACAAAATACGATACGCATGGCACTGAGACAGCTGCGCAGTGTTCGATAAGCGGTACAGGTTGAGAACTCATGGCTGATTTGTATGGTGAGCAGTGCGGGTCGAGGTACTCAGGGGCCAGTTTTCGTATCACGGACTATAAATATTTAATGTCAATCCTTAAAAATAAGTTACATCATATCTGCAGCTGAGGCTGCTCAATTAACTATAGGTTTGCCTATAGTGCCCATTCAGTTTGTGTCGATGGTGAGTAGCCTTTAACCTTTTATTACTTTACTACTTGACAGTTGTTCTGCCGTACAATACAGTAAAAAGACATACCCATACTTTATAATCATTGCCGGCATGTAACAATGTATAAGTAAACATATTTACAATGAAATAGACAACAGTATACATTGGATCATTGGATACCTTACAGTGGCGTAACTATAAAATTCTAGCCCATGTGCAATATTATTTTATGGCCCCTAAACATCGTTATATGAATAAAATTAGACAATTACACGTATATATAAAATGTATAATTATATTATGTATTATAATATATATCATAATTAATTAAATAATACTTATACATGAATTAAATGACAATATGACAAAATGTATTAACATGAAATAATTTATAAATTACGTTGTCAACATTTTAAATATATTTATAACTATAACGTAAATGTTTTTTTTCTTGCCTTCAAATCAGCAAATTGTCTTATAAATTCCTTTATATCCATTTTTTCAGCTTCTTTAGCTTCAATGGCTAAAATTGCTAATTCGTTGAGACGTTCTTGTTGTTGTATGAATATATTAATGGCTGATTCATTAAAAACTCAATAAATTCTTTTATTGAATTTAATTTTGTTAGTTCTTTTTTTACAATATCCATTCAAACTAACATAACTTACATAATTTATTGTAGTGGGAACTCTGTAGTTAAATCTGTATTCAATTTCTTTTGGAGTTTATTTGAATAATCTATTATTTAATTATCGGGGAAATATATTAATATATTAGGACTCAAAAAGTTAAACAAATTATATATTTCATTCATTCCTTCGAACCGATTATGAAGTTGATTGCAAACCATATCAAAAACTTTGCTATATACGTTAATTTAAAAATAATGTTCGTTATTTTTAAATTTAAAATCTTCAGCTAATTCGTCAAAATGTTTTTTTGATATTTTTCTTCTTTTATTAGAAAATTCAGCTTTTACATTTCATTTATTAGCTAAATTAACAGCATCAGTTTTGGCTTTTTCGTAATCATTTCTAAATTTTATGTTCTAATGACAATATTCTATAATATTCTACCTGTTTCATGGACGATTCGATTTATTTTTATACTCTTCGTAATATAGAAGTTTATGGTTTTATCGTAGTATATTCTTTATTATAAAATAGTTTAAAATTATTGGACTCCCTTTTGAACCGTCTAGGCCCTGGGCCCCGGTGCAATGCACACCTATGCAACCATGTAGTTACGCCACTAATACCTTATAGTTTATATCTATGGTATAAATGGTGTGATTACTTTGATCACACGGATCAAAGGTAAAATGGCATCATATTCAAATTTTATGTCTAAAATAATAAATTATCACAAAATTTAAGAGTACCTATGGTTAAAATGATTAAAAAACCATATTCACTCAATTATTTAAAAATTGAAATTTTCTTATGCTAAACATATAAAATAGATTAAAATAATGATGAAAAAAATTTCTAAATTATGCTTTAAAATTTTACTAAAATACTGATTTTGGGACATTTTAACAAAAATTTCCGAAATTATAAAAAAATGAACTATACAGCGATTTAACAGTTAACATGTTTTTTATAGTTTATTTAATTTTAACTGTTTATTTATATAAAATAAACAATTAAAAAAAATTATAAAGCGATACGTTCGCTTTATTTTAGAGGATTAGCTACTAGAATAACAATAAAAAAATGTATTTGGTTTTTTTTTTTATAATAAATTGCAGATAATAGTTTTCTTTTTGTTTTAATGAATAAACACAAACACTTAGGTATTAGATGGTAACTCTGTTTTTTTATTTTGCTTTAAAAAAAATGTATACATTAATTACATTATTATCTCTGTATAGAATATTAGCATTTATTGAACAAAAGTAAAATTAAATACCTAATACCTAAGTACAAAATGTGTTAAAATATAAATCAATCAAGCATTATAATATTAAAAAAATTATCGTTTATCTAAATTTCTATCTTTAATGTGAGTAAAACCGGCTATTTATTTAGTTTGTTAAATAAACAAAATAATATTTTATTTTATGATAAATATGTTTTTTTTTCACGTACTACCCTGAGCTTCCTGTGTACCATAAGTTGAGAATGCTGCATTAGTAAATAAAAAATTATATCATGTTAAACAAAAGCCTCAGCCCTACAAATCTATAAATCATCACTGATCAATGTTTCATTGTAGTTCAACATGAATCCCCGTCTCCAATGCAATTCAAATGAAGCATGTCACATTAAAAAATTATTATAAAAAATAATTCAAAAAATAAAAAAAATAACTTAAATTAAAAAAAATAAATAACATAAAAACAGCTGTTGAAATAATTTTGATAGTTTTTAATGATCTATACTAATAGGTATAGATTTGATATTTTAATTTAAATTAGTTAATATTACATTATTTAGGATTAAATAATAAATAATAAATTCTAAATACATAAAAGAAGCAATGTATAAAATATATTTATTAGACATATCTTTTAACTTAAGTAAATAGGTATCATTGATTTAAGAATATACAGAGATAAATTGTGCCAATTGTGACATAAAGTTACTCCATCCACTTACAGATAAATTGCTACATACAGTGTACTTTTGATTATCCGCAGAATAGGGTGGCTTGATATCTACGGATAATTTGCAAAATTCAATAATTACATATATCATATATGTATAATTAAAAAAAATAAATCATGTAATTTTAAATAGTATTTAAGAAAAGTTAAAATTAGAGCATGTTTTACTTTTATTTAAACATTCATGTAATATTACTAACAAATTTTAAATTTTATAATTAAAAATAAAAGATATACACATATATATATATAATTAATTTTTTTTCAGTTGCCATTAGAAAAGAGTTGTGGCAATCGCCCCTTTCCCATAGGTTGTGATTTTAATGTTATTTTTATATTCTTGTCCTGGGCCAAAATTCAAAATTACCGGGAGAACGTTAGTGGTGATTTTTTTTTGTCTTGATTTTGTAGAAAAAATATTCTACATATAATTTAATCGTAAAAATAATTATAAACAAATTTATTCAATCAAACCGGGAAAATAATACAAATAATTAGCCTCAAATACAGGTTAAATAAAATAGAAAGTAATTTAATTTTTGAAAATTCTTCCTTGTATAATATCTGGATCTATAGAAAATATTTTGAAGATTAACACTTCTTAGTTTATTCTAAAATTATAGATAGTGTGTAGTATGGGTCATAAATAGGATCATCATATATCTTTCCGAACAAAATAATGATTCAATTTTAAATAAAATTATTTCGTTACTTTTACAAATAACAATTTTAACTTTAATAGAATATTGAAATATATCTAGATGTGTGAATTAAAAACTAAACGCTTGTTGTTACTATTTTTTTTTAATAAATACAAAATTTTATCTGTAATAATTTATAATTCATAACTCTAACTACATAGATGTATACTCTGTCTCATATAAGAGTAGCCTCAGGTCAGTTAGGTTTAATCAGATCACTTCATCTCATAATAGATATTTATTCATCATGGAAAAAATTGTTTTTCTATGCTTATTTAAGCAAAACACAAGGTTAATAGTTGTTGGAAAAATAAAGTAATATGCCTAAAAGCATAAATTAGTAATATTTATTAGCCTAAGTGGAGCTGTCGGCCCAAGTTTACTTTTATATGAAACTGAGTATATTAATTTTTTTTTTTGGAAAGTACAAGAAAGAATAACAAAATAAAATTACCATGACTTGTGGTTTTTATTTTAAATTTAGTTTCAAAATTCAAATTAGTATAATAAATCTATAAAATTACAAACTTTAACTTTAAAATATTTTATAATCTATTCTCTATATCAAATAGGAACATTTAAGAGAATATTTTAAAAGATGCTTAAATGCTTACCTTTTATAATATAAAATAAATTGTTGGTAATTTTATCTTGTTAAGAGGAGTAAATAGATAAGTTTCATTTACAAGTGACAGATATTTACAGAGTACATCTACTAGAGTAATTAAAATAATAATAATATTAATGATAATAATAATAAAATAAATACAGTATACATACAAGTTATGTTAATTAAGATGTTCAAGTATACACAATAGTGATAAGGAGATAAATGTTTCTTAATAGTTTATTGCAATAACATTTATAATAATTAAAATTTAGGAAAAGTTAATTTAAAATTTATGGTGAATTCATAAAAATATACTAGACAAAATATTTAGTAATAAATTATAAACAAGAGTGAATGCCACTTATTTTGATTTAACAAGGTTCAACTAACACAGAAGAACTTATAATAAAAACATTTACCATCAATGAAAGTTGGGTTATTGGTTGATAGCTTTGGAACAATAGTCAAATCAACAAAAATAAAGAATTTTATTATTTCAAAATAAAATAATAATTAAATATACTTAATAATATAAAATAAAACATTTATAAAATGATAATGTTAGATTGTAATTTCAATTAAAATAAAACAATTTTTACACGGTAATTATATTTTGCTATAATTATTAGTATTTTGTTATTAAATATTTATTAATATCAATTAAATTATTTAAAAATTATAAACTAAATTATGTTTTTAATTATTTTATGTTTCTTGTCCAGTTTTGCACATCTTCCCATTATCAATTGTCTGATATGACACTGATGATGAATATAGATTTTATTGCACAAAATATCGCATCTACAAAAAAAAAAAATTAGTAAATTATATTATATGGTTAATAGTAGTACTTGAACTACAATAAATTATTACTTTTAGTTTTGTTCGATAGGGAATAAGATAGTTTATTATAAATCTTTTAGTAAACTGGATTTGGCATTCTTTAACTTGTCAAAGCGTTTTAATAAATGCATATTGGATGTCTCCAATTCTTCAACTTTTGCTTGAGCTTCTCGGAGCTAAAAAAAAAGTGAAATTCTCATTAAGGAAAATTAACTATTACAAACTTTAATAATAATTAAGCTATAGAATAAATAATTAATTATGATTCATATATAGTATACATATTTTTTATATTGATGTTAGTAAACTTTTAAACTAAGTATTTTTGTTTAATTTATATTTATAAAGTTAAATATTTTACAAACAATAATTAATACCTCGCGCTGTAGTTTTCGTTTTTCCAATTTCAGTTCATCTTCAGCTTTCTCAGATGCTTCAGAAGCTGTTTTATATCTAATTACTTGACTTTCAAGTCTAGCTACCTAAAATTAAATATAATTATTTTAATGGATGTTAGATAAAATGTACATAATAAATAAAGTAAAAGGTTTTAATTAATTAATTTACATTAGCTTGTAACGTAGAAATATCTTGTTCAGCCTTTTGCCACTTGAATTTATAATCACTAAGAACTTTATTAGTTTCTTCTATTAAAAAAAAAAAATTAATTATCAAATTATATTATTGGTATTTTTAAAAATGCAATTGACACAAAGCCAATCTTACTTTGGGCATCTTCCAAATCGTCTGAGTCTGTACCATTATAATGGTTATCACTATGACGTTTGGCCTCTTGCAACTCTAATTTGAGCCTATTAATTTCGTCTATATAGTTGTTGCGCTCCTCAGTAAACTTTTTGAGTCGTACATCTGAATAAAACCCAAAGTATTTACATTATAACATGGTATGAAAAATATAAAATATATTAAAAACACAATATATAATTGTATGAAAAATGTTATTGAATACAAGGTTATCCTATAACTCTATATTCTAAATTTCTGTTTTCAAACATATTCTTTTTAAGTTGTCATGTAAAAAACATTTTTGACAATAAAATAAGAATTTTTATTCTTATTTATTATATATTTTACTGTTGGCACGTTAATATATATTTTTAATTTCAATGTGTTAGACAAATAATTTAAAATATTTCGATATATTAAATTAAAATTTTAGATGAGTAGTTAATTAGTTACAAGAGTTAAAATAGAACAAATATTCAAACACTTTTTTTTTTTTAAATAAATGAAAAAAAGATCTGTTGTGTGGAAAATTGGTTGTTGATCATGAATTATGATATGAAAAAATATAAATGGTACCTAAACAGTATTAATAAAAATATATTTTCAAAATTTGTGAAATTTAAGTTGTATAATAAAATATGTAAATCATAAAATTAAGAAGTAAATTTTTTTATTTAGAAAACATTAAATATGCATAAAAATATTCATTATTTAATAAAACTGACAATATGTGAAAAATAAGCTTTAAAAATCTTTGATTATTCAACTTTTCATTAAATAAAATGTACTTCTAACTTGGTCAGCTATAAATCGAGAAAATATAAACAAATATGCTGTTCCTATAATTTCAGTTTAAATAAACAGAGCAATGAATCATATACCAACATAAATAAATATTTGCTTAAATTTATAATATTTGTTATGGATTATAACACATTTATATATTTAATGTAATTATTAAGAGTAATTTAAAGAAAATAGAGAAACAAAGTAATAAAATATTTAATAAAATATGTATATACATACCTAAACAACCTTCTCCTGCATCTTGTAACAATTGAGCATTTTCAACAGAGACTAAGGCACGTTTTATTTTACTATTACATTGATCATTCTCATTCCAACTTTCTTGTTCTGTGCTGATAATTACTAAACCTTTTTCCTAAAATAATAATTAAAATATTTATTTATATTCTAAACCAACTAATCCATACAATTTTAGTTCATGATATTTTTTTTTATTATTCAAATAGTTATTTTTAAGTGACTTTAAATCATACTTCAAGATTTTTAACATTAAATAAAAGTACATCAATAGTAAGAAGAGAAGACTGAAATATTGTATGATTAAATACATGAATTTTTAACTAAAATAATATTTTATGAAATAAAATTGTGTCTTAAGGTTTTTAAAGTTATTAAAATATTGTTGGTAACAAATATAAAGAACAAACTAATAACACTAAATATTAGATAAAAATATTAATTTACCTCAATGAGTTTATCACGTTCTTCTAGTTCTTGTTGAAGTGTTACAGATTCTAGTTTTTGAGCGGCCAATAAACGCTTTAATTTTTCATTTTCTCTACAACTCTCTTTATGTTCTCGCTGTAAATGAGTTAAATAATATATTTATAAATTTAAAAAATACTTAATAACTATAAAATAATTACTTTTATATGCATAAGTTCTTCTTCGATATCAGTGTACTTGTCTTTGTACAATTCTACCATATATGTCACAGCTGCTTTTTCATTGTCAAGTTGAGCATTTTGTACCATAGCTTTACGGAACTTTTCCTCTAAGTCTTTTAATTCCATCTAAAAATTTTATTAATATTTATTTATAGAAATATTTAAAAATAAACAACTCAATCATACCCTAAAATCTCGAAAATTAGGAGTAGATTCATCAAGAGAATCAACCGAATTACGTCGACTAGATTGGTAACTGTTAGTATTGTGTATTGAACTGGCTGCTCTAGGGCTGGCAGTACTTGCAGCTACTCGTGATACTCGATTTATAATAGATCCATCTAAGAGATAAAGGCAAATAATATAGTAAATATTATACACTTTAAAATAAATATTTAAACAAAGTGTTTTATATCTTAATCAAACACTTTTTTAATTACAGGAACTTAATCATAAAACTTTGAAGTGTCACTTATCATAAACTAAATACTGTATAGTTGAATACAAAGTGCTATAAAAATAAATAATCATAAACTAATTTAGCAAATATTTATAGAATTATATTTCATATTTTAAATTAATAATTATTTATTTATCTACCTTTTAATATTCTTTAGTTTATTTTAGTGAACTTTATTACTAAAATTCAAATTATTATTATAATGGTCTTTTATCTTAATTTTAATTTCACGCCTTGAATATAAAACAAAAATCTTGTTTAAATAAATCATTATTTTTACATATGTAATATTTTTATTTTTTTTTTTATAACCATTAGAATAACTTTGAATATGATGTAATAAGTGATAAAATAAATCTAAATAAGAATATACAAGAAACATATCAGAGAGAAAAAATATTCATACAAATAATAATTTCCATAAATGTTTTGACTATATAGCCATTGCTTATATAGAAATAAGGTAATGATAGAGTTTTATCTTCAAATTTAATTTTTTAATTTTTTTTTATTATCATATAATAATAATGTAAATACTGAAATCCATAAAATATAAATAAAATAACCAAGCGTTGGTAATAACTTAGATCAGGGGTCGGCAACCTTTTTAACCACACGGGCCATTTTTTTTTCAATTGTTCATCAAGGGCCACATTAAAAAAAAAATTACATACTATGATATAATACTTATAATTGTATTGCTATTATGAAACGGTTAGATAAGATTTTATTTATAAAGGAAAAAGAATTACATAATATTGAAAATTATATGAAAAATGTTATTAAACAAAAGTAAAACACAAAAATTAACCACCTTTGTGCGGGCCGCGGGTTGCCGACCCCTGACTTAGATTAAGTATAATATAAGGCAAAAATAAAGTCTTAACAATACACAAATAAAATAAAGATTTAACACGGAGAAGGCAGATAGATAAACAAGCCAAACTTCAATTCTAAATGAGTATTATTACATTAAATTCCTAACTGTGATTTTCAGAAAGCTAGATATCAAAGATATACCAAAGAATGTTAGCTAGAGTTAAAATATGCCCAAGACCAAATGTCCCAAATTTTTTTTTCATACATATTTTAAATTTTTTAAATATTAATTTACAGTAAAAATTTTATTTAAATATTACAAAAATAGTACTAACTACATCTCCATCTCCATATATTACATATAATTGTACAATATTATATTAAATTATAATTAGTATAATTATAATATCTGAAAATTTAAAATTGATTTACTGATTATTAAATTTTTGGATAAAATTATTTTTATAAATTGATAAATCCAGAGATAATATTGAGAAACAAAAATTTAATAATGATAAAAGTGAATTTGAAAAAAAAAACAACAAAAAACAAACAATATTACTTATTAATTATCAAAGTTATAATCAATTATTACTTTTACACCAAGTCAACATGTATATACTTAATGAACAGGAAACATTGTAACTCTTAAGTTTGGTAATTTAATCAAATTATTTTTGTTTTAAATTAAAGTTAAGTTAGTTTTACTAAAGTATAATTTGACTAGGCAATGTGACCCATTAATTCAAGATATATTTTGTAAAAGGTTGAAATTCTACAATAATAAATACTATTTTATGCACTTATATCATAATTACTTGTAAAATATTTATTTATTTTTTTATATTTTATGCAAGTCGTATATGTATAGTAAGAATTAAACATTTTATCTTAATTTTGTACATATTTGCAAAGGTATAATATATTTTCCTCAAATTTATTTTGCCTTAGACATATTTCCTTACAATATACTAAGTGAATACCAAAATAAGGTATACAGAGAATACTCTATACCTTATAAAAAATAGCATGCGTACAGAAATAGAAATAAAAGTATACTTGCCAGCAGTATGCATATCAAAAGCTTTGTCTGCATTTTCCTCAGCTTCTTTTTGTTGTCGTTCAATTTCTCGCATACGAATTTCTCTAGCTTCAGCACGGGCTTGACGTCTTGCAGCCAAACGAGCTTCAGCCTGGAACAAAATAAAAATGTTTTAATTAGTCAATTGCTTAATATTTTTAATTTTAAAATTCTCATCGTCTCAATTATAAATATTGTATTAAGCGCTTCCTAAAAGATTTATGCAGTATGCATTGTTAGTAAACATATAATCAAAATTAACTTATTTAAAACACGTTAAACAAAATAACATAATTATAGTCTTACATCAATACTAGAAAATACAATTCAAGTAACCAACAAGTTAATTATAATTATATTTATACGTACTTCATCATTACGCTTATCCAAAAACGCTACAATTCCATCTGCTTCAGAATCACAATTGGAATTATAGTCATGACTAGAACCATTAATTCGTACCTTTGTTTGTTCCCTAAGAGGACTAGATTGACGATCGTTCAAAATATTATCTGATAGCTCATCGATATCACTGATATCAGCAATAGAATATGCACAATAACTTTCGTCGTCCTCTGATGAAAAATAAGTATAATTTGTTTCAGCGTTGCATACTGGACGAATTGCATCAGTATTTAAATTTTCGCATACTGAATTCAGTGCAGTATTATCATTAACACATGTGTGACAAGAATATGATCCGTCATTATCAAATATCAACTTAGACGACGAGTTAACGACTTTAGAATATTCATATGGAGTAACGTTATTTAAGATATTCACCACCGCATCCCTACTATCCGCACTATTAACACTGCTAGAATATAGCGATGTGGACTTTTTCGACGCTAATGTAGAGTTAGATGTATTAAATTCAACAGGCACATTGACGAGTAATTTAGCATCTAATGATTTTTCATTTAAATTATCTGTAGTTTGATTTATGTATATGTGAGTAATATGCGCTCCAGTAACCAGATCACATGGCGTAACGTTCATTTTAATATGACTTTCATTCATGTTAGATGCTCAATGTGATATATTTTTTAACTAAATAAATAACAAGACCAAAAATTAATTAAATATGAACACTTTCATTTCAATTAAGTGCAAAAGAAAACAATATTATTATATCATGATATCTAAACAAATTTATTTAAGTACTCCATCAAAACAAAACATAAGTATCCAACATAACATAGGTATAGTTATATCAAAGAGTTTACAGCATTACATTATGTAATTATGAAATAAAAAGAATATAGATGGATTTAGGAAGTAAATATTACCACTAGCCTGCAGGGTCATTTTTTATTTTTAGATTCAGAGCGGAACGTATTTTGTGTTTCTGGAAATTTACGAAAACAGCTTTGTGGGAATTAAAATAAAATTCAAAAAGTTTCTCTGCTGATTATAAATCGTAAACGTCTTATAAATTATAATACGTTAGAAATTTAATTTATTAAATTTTTTATTCTTTTGTATTTTGAATAATGCAGTCTTAAACATTTTAATTCAATAAAAAGGTAAAAAAAAAAAAATAAACAATACGAAAACAAAATATATTAAATAACGTAAAATTAAATGCCTATTTATTATTTATACAATAAATAATGGATTTTAAACCAAAAACTATTATAAAATACCATGTAACATAAAAAAATTTAAACTCATTTCTGATATATTTTTTCAATAAGATGTCGGCGCACCATATTTTGTTTTTTTACTTTTTATTACATACAAATTAAATACTATAATAGTGTGTTAACTTCATGGTAAGTGTATAAAACTTTTTAAAATAATGTAAGCTGTAATTGTATTTAACATAATATAACTTAAATAACCAACATGTTGTACAATAATTACCAGATTTTGAACTTCAAATAACAGGATAATTAAAAAAAGTAAAAATGTCTCGTCGATGAAAATATCAATAAAAAAATATTTTATGTTTATCATCTATAAATAGAAGACTATCTTTATCTTTGTGAAAGATGAATTAATTTTTACATCGGTCTTCTAATATATAATAAGTTTAAGTAAAAATGTTTACTAAAATATAAAATTTAATAACGTCATAATATTTTACTATTTATATTTAATAAGCACTGCCATGTTCCTTTTGACCGTTTACAGAATATAACCTATCATTAACTTGAGTTGGTTCACAGTAATAATTATATGAAGTATTTATTTAAGTTACTTAGCTACCTATGCATTATAATACAATTAAATATTCAAGCATTACAATTTTTTTAAATTTTTATATAAACGAATAGATATTGTGTAAATAATATAAATATCAAAACCTAAACATCGTACTTAATATTTTATTCAATAAAGCAAATTTATAAATAATTGTAGAATAGTTTGAATTGATATACTATACTTATATTTAGGAAAATGCTGAGACAAATTTTATAAATATTCAATTCTACCGAACTATATGTTAAAAAATTGTATGCACACACTAACTTTAAATATTGTCTATGATAAACATCTTAAATGTATAAGATTATTCTTTAAGTCGTAGTGTATAAAAATTACTATTTACTGAACTGTCAAATAATATCAGCGTTTTCCATTACGGTACATAAAAATAGTAGGATACCGCTACCTCACAGATTTATTAGAAGTTAGAACAAAATAAATATAAAAATATACGTCTTCAAAAAAATAATATTAATAATATCAAACATTTAACATAAAAATTAAAAAAATAGTAGAATAATTTAATTTAAATTAAATATTTATGAATATTGTACCTACATTGTTTTGAAATTTAAGCTTGTTTTTTTTAACATATTCCATAATAGTCAGTTCGTTTGATAATAAGACCGATTATTGGTAAACCAAATTGCTTTCTTGTTCCCGATTACATTTCAGTTGTATTACTTCGGTTCCCTTTTTAATTATTTATTTATTTATCAATAAGCGACGATAATCGTGATAAATATACATTTAAACGGGAAAACTATATTTTAAAATCTATAAGCATATTTTGTACATTTATGCAGTAATAGATGACAACCGATAATATTACTATACCTACCATAAATAATTTTTCAAAGATACGTTTTATGACCTAAATATTTGTATGCGTCACAAACGCCAATTGTTTCCAATTATATACGTTTACAGACTATAAAACAGAAAAAAATCTAATCAATATTCAAATAATTTATTGTTTAGGTTTAGTGTATCTAGCAGTGGAAAAACCAGTTAGTGATGTCAATATGTCATAACTCATAAGTCGTAACTCATAAACCTATTTGCAACGGGCAGAATGTTTACTCACACAAATACATATTTACTATTGTAGTATCTACCTAACATAACATTTTAATACGCGTATATAGTTATGTCAACAGAAACAATAATTCAAACATTTTACGTTATCTCAATTCTCAACTATGCATTTAATAAATTAATAAATAATATTTAAAAATACATTAATAAAATAATATAAGAGACATAAAATGGTATGTAAGTGAGTAACACTCTGCTGTCTCTGCTGTACATTGAATAGGTCACTATTATAGGACTGTTAAATTTGAATACAATTATTATACATCATTGTATACAAAGAACCATTCTGAGCGGAAACAGTCTATCAGCTTTCATCACCAAGTGATAATATTTTTTTGGAATAGCTATTTAAGTAATTTATTTTATTTTTAATATTATAGTAAGTCCATATACATTTTTCCGAAAATATTGCATTCATTTTATTATTAGTATTTAACAACAAAATAATTTACAAATTTTCCCGATTTTTATGAATTTTGTTAAAATTCTAACTTAAACGCTTATAAAAAATGATTGTAACAATAGATTTTTGATATTTTTCAATTGAGAATTAAACTACTTATAAGGAACTTTGTATTAAAATTTTCAGTATTTCTACACAGCAAATAATTTTTAATCAATATTTTTTTTAAAAAAAGTGAATATTTTTTATGCCTATTAATATTTAATACATTAAAAATAGTAGAAACATTTTTAAAATCGTATCATGATAGAAAACAATAATATAAACATTTTACAAAAATTTCAAATATTTATGGTAATTCGCTTTCAAGTTACATTAAAAAAACAAAATCAATTTTTGTCAAAAATTTGATTTACGTAAAATGTCCGTTTTTCCTTAATTTTTTTGTTTTTATTTCCCTATTATAAAAATAAGTGCTGTACATTTTTAAGTTTGGTTTATTTAATGTACACAACACTAGATTCAATTTATTACACAAAACTGCCCCGATTTTTAAATTCTAACATTTTATTGACAACTTATCGTGTACTCATGTACACACACACAATTAATACATTCATCGCTCCGCTCAGAATCTAAAAATGTATTATTCCGAAACACTATTTGTGGTCTTGGTCTAATACATAATGCTTGTTTTACGAGGCGCATTAGTCATACAGTTCTATTTAATACGTTTATTGGTATATATTGTTTTTACATTAGTTTATTAGAAACATTAATATTAAAACAGTATAGTTTATACCTGTTTATACAGTATATTTACAAATAAAAAGTGTACCTACGTATGCATGTAAATTTAAGAACAAATTACTATAATTATGAAATCAGCTTTGATATATTGATATTGATTTACTATAACGTCTATAACAAAACATAGATAAATGCATTAAGGTACCTCGTACCTACATAAATAATATCCTATACCGATGTGAAATAAAGAACGGATGTTGCGTCCTCTTAATGTCATGTATACCTATAGGATGTAAGATAAACCAAAAGATATTAACAACCTAACTAAAGTAATATTTTAATTTTAAATTTATACATAATATAAATTTATTATGTATGATGGTTAGGTGGATTGATTAAAAATAGTGTGTTCACAAGTTGTAGTTTTTATTCGTAAAACAAGTCATATTTGACTTATTTATTTGTTCAAACTGTATTATGGCTTACAATGATCTAAATTGAACTAATAATTCGAATTAAAATACACAATATTAACGAATTAGTAATACACATTTGAAGAACTAACAAAAATAGTTGTACACTTATATATATTCTTAATATACGCCTACATAAATAAGTAATCTTATTTTAAAAACAAATTATACGAACTATGTTTCTTATTTATTGATATTTTAACATGATCAAATAAAATAAAATATAAACTACTATATTATATTACTAATACATTTGGAATTTTTTCACTTTGGTCACCATTAGCTTCGAAACGAGTCAGAATTGAAATAAACGTATACCTAAGCAATATATATTACATCATAACGATTAATTTTAATGGCTTATATATACCATACATAGGTAACATATGCACGAATATGTATTATATACTCTAGGTAATAAAGTACAGTAAATTATTTGAAATGTAAAGGATTTTTTTTTTTTTTTAAGTACCTACTAACATCATAAAAAACAAAAAATCCATTGTATTGGTATATTAAATTGACATCGTGCATATACTGTATTGTAGTCAAATAAATTAAACAATTAACACGAATAAAAAGGTAAAAAAATACAAAAATTATACGAAATACCAAAGTACTTACAGGTTGAATCTATTCATCGCGAGATAAATTAAAAAACATATTTATTTTTTTCAGTGTTTTTATGTTTTTTTATTTTATAAAATTATAGACTGACTACCGACAAAACGAATTCAACTATGAAAAAATATTGAGATAAAACAGTTTATACTTTAGTTTGCGTTACTCGTAATTCGTAAATTATGATATTGATAAATTTTAATCCACGATAAATTGACAGAATGGGGTATCCTATTAACCATTAATAAATTAATTATAATATAATGCATATATCGTAAAAAGCACTATCTATAAAAAGTGTATAATACAAAATTTATTTGTAAGAAAAATATTTATACACGCTAATAATAATATGCAATAATGTCAAAAACATAATGATGTATTCGTATGATATATGTATATTGTATATATATGTGTATACATGTATAACGTATTAACCTAAATATAATAGATAATAAAATTAGAAACAAGAATTCAGTATTTCAAGAACATGAAATAAAAAATAATAATTTAAGTTCTCACACAAACATACAGTCACATTTTAATGATTTAATATCTTATCGAATGAAAAAATAAAATTAAAATAATATTAGTAATGATAGAATAATGATGGTAAATATAAGTCTAGACTAAATGTAATTTTCATCAAAACAAACAAAAATAGTTATCATGAGAACGATCAAAGAATGTCTGGAAAGTCTTTACAGACATTATTATAACCCATTATTGTGATATCATTACCTCAACTCATATACAGGGTGATTTATTTTCGTAAGAAGCTTTTTATTTTGAAAACTATTATCAATTTATTAGAATTTTTAAAATATAATATTTTACATAGGTACCATTTAAACTCATTTAAAAATTAAAATATCATTAACACACACGATAAAGCACAGATGTTCTTATCCTTAAAAAAAAAAACACACTCAAAATTATAAGTTTACTTTACAAAATTATGATATCTGAACATAAATATGCCAAATTATATTATGTTATTAAGACGGAGACAAGATTTGGGTTCAGCATTTTCATAAAAATTAAATCTATCTAAAAATGTATAAGTATATTTTTACTATAATTTTTTTAATTTTATTCTGTTTTGAATTGGTATTTACATTTTTAATATAATTAATTAATAGTTTAGATTGATTTATTATATTTATGGGTTGTAACTTATAAGTATTAAAGCTTAGATAATGACAATGACAAAGTACTGTGCCAAACGTTGGTTCACTACTTCTTTCGTCTAACTTAAAATACTTTTATAACTATAGTTAATCAACTATTCGTTCGGAATTTGATTTGTATATATAGAAATACTCCAAAAAATATTTTGTTTTGGAATATAACAATAAAAATGTATATTATTTAAACATTTAAAAACTTGAAAATGATAATGATAAAAAAAATCTATTTTTTAATAAATTCAAATCATATAAAAAAAATCATTGTTATAAAGTTATTTTTTTAAATAATTATTCTTATGTTGAAAAAAACACCCTGTTTATATTTATATGCAATACGGCGGCATACAGCTATTCCACTCATGATAAGAAATGTGCTTTGTTACTAACATCAAATATTATAAAAACATAGAATATGACTTTAGGAGGACTCGCTGTGAGGTACTGTATGAAACCTAAGATATAATTAAGCATAATAGGAATTCGGATTTATTTAACAATGAGCATTCGTTCGTCTTAAATTTTAGTTAAGTATTAATATTAGTCCTATAAATACCTATAAATAATAAATAATGTAATATTAATATATAAATATAATATTTTTAATTAAATATTAACGGCTTTGTTAGCCTTTTTTTGGTAATATTTACCACCCAAAAGTTGCTTCCTAGTACACACTTATTAGACTCTATAAGTATTATTATTTATATTATGTTTAGTACAATATTATTTTTACATTTTAGTAATAATAATAAAAATATTTAATGACTTTTATAGAACCAGATATGGAATAAAATAATTAGTAAAACTGTTATTGTTTAACCGATGATGTACCTATAAATATTTTTAAATACCATTTCAATATATTTTAATCAATTTTAAATAAAGTAGTTAAATAAAATAATCTACATAAAAAATTACAAGATTTTGAGTTAATATATAAAAACTAATATTCCGAAGACATAGACGTACAACAAATAATTAGAGATTTTAATATGTTATAGGGTAATAACGATTTTAAATTACATAAAGAATAAAGATATATGTATTATTATAATAAAATGTTTAATATTAGAATTGATAAAAATTGTTTTAGTTTAATACTTATTTACAATAAATTTTTGTTATTATTTAAATCTGTCAATAATATTTTTGTCAACTATACTAATACAAACACTGATTTGCATATATAGATGCATACTTACACTTACGAATATTTTTAAGATTCTTAAAATTAATATTTAAAATATGCTGATTACTAACTATACAAGGTGTTCAAAATAATAGCTAATTCAAAAATTTTACGAAAAATCTAACTATTCACAAAGCCATTCGAATTGTGGACTAATAAATCAATACAAATTTAAAAATACTATTATTAAATACTTAAGTTAAAAAAAAACATGATAAAACAACTATATTTTAAGCCCTATTAGGACATAAATAGAAGAACAGATAATAACTCATGAATAAAATATCTACCTAACAGTAAACAAAGCAAGGTCGTGTTTAACTAGACAAACCCAAAATAGATCTTATTTTAAAAACCAGGCTTTAAATTATGCTACTAATTGAAAATTATATTTAAAAAGTAGTGTATTATTTTACCAAATTAATTATTCTTGAATAAACTACAAAATCTATAGATTACTATGATAAGTTGAAAAAAAATTTATAGTTGACATTCAGATATTTAGTGTGAAAATAATTTTACATTTATTGTACTTTTTGATAGTTAATAAAAACTAACAGTAAGAGTATACATTTGATTAATATTGCAAAACTATTTAACTTAATTTATATTTTATATTATGCACTTAAAAGGTTGGACATATTTTACATTTTGTAATGATGGAGTATAAATATTTAAATACCAGATATTTGTATTACTTTAAATATGAATGCTTCAAAAATTTGGTTTGATACACAAAAACATGACTTAATGTACTACACATTTTAAATATTATACTAGTCTATTCCTAAATAAATAAAAAACGAATATTTAAAATTATTTATTTTATGATTTTAAAACACACCTAAAAGATGAAAGGTGTAACAAAAATAACGCGAACTACACAACACAACACGTACACGGACGAGCACCCAATACAACATAGTATTGTATGTAATGAAAAATTAATAAGCAATACAGCATATCAAACATAACCGTACCTAGCGAACTCTGGAAACCGGTTGGGTACAAGAAGCTAAATATTTCGTTTAATAGGTATAGGTGCCCTAAAGAAGTAAATTTAATGCAGGATTATCATAGTGGGGAATTAATTTATACGCAAAATATAAAATTATCAGATTCAATATGTTTAAAGATAAATTTAATAGACTAAAATAAATCGAAGATAATATTCGTAAAACAGTTTTAGAAATTATAACATCAGTTATCACCATAAAAAATAGATACATTTCATATATGTATTTTCGAGATAACAATCCAAAAAATAAGAATTTAAAAAAATATAAAACAAAATTTAGATCCACCACAAAAATGAATAATTAAAAATTATAACACCGATTTATTTTCCATATTATCGTTTGGTTTTCCAAGTACTACTGTATAGGAACCTTTGTGACTATTAAAATTTATATTTTAATAACAAAGGTAAACAAATGTAAATGTAAGCTTAAAAGATTCGTAAGTTTACGTATAAGTGATAATGAGGAAAGACACGTTTATTTTAGCATGGTTTTTTTTTTAAGAAAAAATTACATTTTTAAAAGTATCAACATTTCTATAAATGTTATTTATACTGAGTGATTCTATTATCAAACAACAATCATTAATTAAAATCTATAAAGGTTTAAAAAAAATAAATATTTTTTCATAATTTCTTATCAAAAACAAAAACATTATTTTAAAAGACAACATACATTTTTAATTTTATATTCTAAAATAGAATATTTTTCGTATTATTTTGATACATAAAACTGAAATTTGAACAAGAAGTTTATGAATTTTAAGTATTTAAAGTTTAAGTAAGCTGATTAAAAGACCAACATTTTATGGAATATTCCAGAACCTTTCTACTCCTCTCACCTAACTTACAATACTTATGTTGTAACTCATACACTACTCGTTCAAATCTTGATTTTTATCAATGTATATCATTCGAAAAATATTGTTTCAAAATATGACATTAAAAATGTAAGTTGTAGTTTAAAAAAGAAAATTTTTTTAAAATTTGAATGATGAAAAATATTAAAAATATCGTTAATTTGACTGTAAATTATATAAAAAATATTTTTTCAAAAATACTAATAGAACTTGAAATAATAAGTGTTACTCTAAATCGCTCAATATATTTATTCATATATCTACTATAGATTACATATCCAATATAGTTAGTAGGGTCAAGAATATTTAAAAAAAAAATTTTCTATCATTTTAAAAAATATACAAAAGATTATGATCTCCTCTACTAATATTCGTTACATTAATTACCATTTTTGATTAAAAAAAAACCTAAAAATTTTATACAATAAATAATAAATAAGTATAAACATAGTTAAAACTAAATATAAAAAAATTAAATGAATGAATGGACTCATTCTACTCTAAAATGATGTGTCACACACTTAATTTTTTTTTTTTTTTTGTAAAATATTAGTCACACATTACTAATTTGAATATATATTATAGCCATAATTTCTATTAAGTCAATATATTTATTGATATCATTTTTGATATTTTGTTACCAATTATAGCCAATTAGTTATTTAGCCTTTATAATAAAAATAATAATAATAATTATTATTATTATATTTATTTTTTTGTCCTTTTTTTTTTTAGAAAAATAGTGTTAACAAAAAATTTATACAATAAATCCTATATAATATGGATCCTGAATTATATTGAAACCTGTCTTTTATAAAAAAGTTATTAGGTTCCTATGACTAATATATTTTTATATACATTAATCCTTGAACAAGCTGGAGCTTATAAAACATTTAAATAAAAATAAAATGTTGTCATGCACTTGTGCACCATATAAATACCTATTTTAAAATTATTAACCAACATATTATAATCTATATCAATTCCTATCTACCCAGCACCTAATATATTTATCAATCATATTGTTTTGTTGCAATGCGTATGTTGGCAATTAATATTATATAGTATGATGGTGTGGGGACTGTCCAGTGTCACCATTAGGCGATGATACAGTCAACCCTATCTTTTGTCTTTTTGCAGCACTTGCCTTGGACAGTCATTGAGCAGTGACTACCGAACTATCTTATGTTTTATTCTTTTGTATTAGTTATATGAATTCTAAAGTATTGGAAAGTTTGTGAAATCAATGAAGTGTTATAACTTATAATCAATTCAGTTAACAGGTATACTTTGTTATTTAGTGTTGTAATAATATTCTACTACAATATGATAACAAGTAACGAGTTAAACAAATTTGTGAACTTTTTAAATATGGAAATATTCAAGTGTATAATAATATAGATACTAATTCAAAAATGAAATAAATAGTAAATAAGCTTAACTATAAAAATAAATGTAAAATTCAAAATTCTAATAGGTATAATTTTAAAATGGCAAATAACATAACAAAACAAAACAAAAAACATTGGAAGAGTATGTGATAAGTGATAATATTTTGAAATATTATAAAATAATAAAAATCTATCATTATATATTTTTTACAATCATTTTTAAATGGAAATTTGTCAAAAATGAAAAAAATTATCTGGTCCAAATACCATTTTCATATTAAATAGGCTTTACTGTAGTTATAATAGATACCTATTAGAAAAATGGTATATATGTTTTTTTCAGATATTTATAGGGCAGCATACCTCTCCTCTCAACTACCCATAGGCGTAATTAGACCTTAAAGTTAGGGGCTTGTCTAGAATTGTTTGTTATTATAGAATTATTGGAGTGCTCTGCTCTAACTCTAAACACCTTACAACAATTGATTATACATGTAATATGAATGTAAATTAATATTTAATTATAAAACAAATGATAAACCAAGTGGTATTGAGGTTAAATATTTATATATTAACATATTATTAAGTATTATTTTAGATATAAAGAATTTAATGATTTTTAGTTTATTGACAACTTCTTAGTAGGGAGTATTTGTGTAGTAAAAATTACACAACATGATACGTAGAGGTGGATTTCCCATTAGGCACTGTAGGCAGCTGCCTAAGGCGACAAAGTTTATAGTGTTTTATTAAAAAACATCAAACTTATTATAAAAAAAAAAAATTCATTACTTTATATTTATGAAAAATAATTAATAATAATGTGCGTATTTATTTTATATTTTTCTACTATATCGTATATGGTATACGGTTGTGGTAACTTGTTCAGTCGTTCACCTATTTTTAGGGCGGTAAATTGTTGATGCCTATAGTCGTTAAAAAGATAAATCTGCCTTTGATGATACGTCTTACACAGGATCATTACATAGGTACAATAATATAGTTTAAATTAATATTTTTCCAAGATATTAATAAAAAAAATAAAACGATATTTTAAATTTAAGTTTAAAAATGTTACTATTATGGGCGGTAGTGTGGGACTAGGAATTATGATAGGGGGGCTAAAATTTATGTTGGGGGGACTAAACCCCCCCCCAAGTCCCCCCCTAGTTACGCCTATGCAACTACCTCCATAAAAATTAGCACTTGACACAATAATTATATAATTTTTTAATTTAATATACTATAAGTAGTTTTAATAAAGTTGTCAAAAATATTTTTAACTGGTTAAATTATATTAAGAGGACACAACACCCGTATGTGTTGTCTGTTTTACAAACGTACAACATATCAAATATTACGTTCACAATAATCTATTATACTCTGTTATTTTTAAAACTAAAGTGAGCTGACTTATTACAATATTTAAAGATAATATTATTATCTAGAAATGCATCTTATATTTAATTGGTATTTAAATTTACTAAAAATGTACAGTTGTAAAATACTCAACTTGCTTTAAAAATTTTTTTTATAATTTGATACTTACAATTGTATTTTTATATGTATTTAAATTATATTTATATTAATATACATACTTAACCTATGAACCATTTATAATTAAATATATAAACATAACGCAGAGGTCTAAAAAAAAAGAAACATAAAAATATTGGTAATAATATTCATTTTTATAGTAAAAATTAGATCTTAAAATGATGCTTCAGCACATTTTAAAAATATATACACTTTTCATTATTTTGTCTAAGGATAATTTTTATTTCATTAAATTAGAAATAACAACAAAGAGGATAAATGGATAGTTTATAACAAAATATATTTTTTGTACCTTATACAAAATTGAAATTAATTGATGGTCTTATAGTTTATTTTTAATTAGTTTGAGAATTATTTACTTGAAAAGACCATAACTCATTTTGAAATTTTTAAAAATCTAATAGCACGATAATATTATAATTCCTAATAACTAGTTTGCACACTGATAATTTATATTAAACTACTAGTTTATTAGAAATATATTTCTTAACTTTAATTGATATCAAGCATGGCAACAATTTAAAATTTACTCTTATTACACTTGTTTATCATGTATATTATTTATGGTACTGATTAAAAAAATTTAGTATAAGAATACCTTTAAGGATAATTCCACCATTATTGTCAGTTATGAGCAGGGCTTGGGACTTAAAGCATTAGCTTATTTTAGCAGAGTGGTATGGAAGTGTAGGTCATGTTATAATAAGTTCAATTATGAAATTGAAAATGCTTTTTTGTTGCTTTTTTCAATGATCTTTTAAAAAAATGCTTAATTCTAGTTTTTCTAATTATTTTTACTTTTTTGACCAGTTTATCTACTTTTTATGATTTTTTCCTACAATTTTGTTTATGATGAAATAAACAATGACAAAGCAAAATGTCTCAAAAATAAAGTTTGATTTTTTTATGATATAAAGATTTATTTATTTTTTTGATCTTTAGTTAAATTATGTTTAGCACAGTTACAAATTATATCTAGTACTTACTTTATCATGTAAAAAGAAAGT